TGAGCCAAAGTTGGATGCTCAACTGACTGAGCCACCTAGGTGCCTCAAAGTACAAAAGTACTTTAGAGAAAAGGATAATTTTTTTGTTTAAAGTTTATTTATTTTGAAAGAGAGAGTACGTGTGCATGCACGTGGGGGAGGGGCAGAGAGAGAGAATCCCAAGCAGGCTCTGTGCTATTAGCACAGAGCCTGAGACATAACTCGGTCTCATGAATCAAATTGTGAGATCATGACCTGAGCCAAAATCAAGAGTCAGACGCTTAACCGACCCAGACACCCAGATGCCCCAAAAGTGTAATTCTTTTTATTTGATAGAAAATTTTTAAGAGGTACCAATTTAAGAGAGGTACCAATTTGCTTAGTATACCTTGTTAGTTTTTGAAAAAACAATCTATTTTTGTTACCTCATGTTCTTGGTAACTTTCATTAATTCATATGGTTTCAATGAAGATTAGAATATCTTTGTTATGATACTTCCTCAGTGGTAATACAATATGGAACTGAAGCAGTATACTGTCTGACAAATGGAACTAGAAACCAGACTTTGCTTTTTAGATTTGTGGGAATTTCAAAGAATTTCTAACAGCTCTGTAGCTGCTGCTCACAAACAGGTCCACTTACGGTCAGTGAAGATATACCTAAAATATACGATACAGTGAAGCTTCTAAAAGCTTCTAGTCATCTACTGTTATCTGCTTTAAGCATTAAATATTTTTTGATGATTTTAATTTCCTTAGAGCAAACCCTAATTTTCTACCCTGTGTAATCTGATTCTTTTTTTTTTCAACGTTTTTTTATTTTTTTTATTTTTGGGACAGAGAGAGACAGAGCACCAACGGGGGAGGGGCAGAGAGAGAGGGAGACACAGAATCGGAAACAGGCTCCAGGCTCCGAGCCATCAGCCCAGAGCCTGACGCGGGGCTCGAACTCACGGACCGCGAGATCGTGACCTGGCTGAAGTCGGACGCTTAACCGACTGCGCCACCCAGGCGCCCCTGTAATCTGATTCTTAATAGAAACTCTTTTGGGCAGTGTGTTTGACTTCCTCATTTGTATTTGCATATCCAAGAAAAATTCGGTGGCTTCAGAATAGCATATGTTAACATACAGTTGTTCCAATGTACTTTTTAAAAATATGCTTATTGGGGGTCCCACTTGCAGTTCTGGCTCTCAGCTCTCCTCAATGGATTGCAGTCACTCTCCTACACTTTGAAATCTAGATCAAGAGCCCATTTTATATATATACAGGAAATAGAAGAGAACAGATGTTCTGCCACAAGATCAGAATCAATTAGCTGAGGTCCTGCTGTATTTTTTACTTCATTCATTCATTCATTCATTTTGGGAGATGGTATCTTTGTGTGCTTTGCCCTTCAGACTGGGTGTATCCTTCCTACATTGGTATTCATTTGTTTCCTAGATCTTTGGCCTAAGCTGTACCAAGGTAAAATGTAGGCTCCCATCTATTTTTTCTACATCTTCAGTTTATCAGGCATTGACATGTGCTTGGCTCTGCCCTGGTCCACGCTTCTAGTTCTACCAGCCTGATCCTAAATGACTCCAGGTGTTGGTGTGATAATCCCACTATTCCTTCAGAGATCAAGAATATTATTCTGGGGTGCCTGGGTGGCTCAGTCAGTAAAGTGTCTGATTTCGGCTCAGGTCATGGTCTCATGGTTTGTGGGTTTGAGCTCTGCATCGGGCTCTCTGCTATTAGTGCAGAGCCTGCTTCAGATCCTCTGTCCCCCTCTTTCTCTGCCTCTCCCCTGCTCGTTCTCTTTCTCTCTCAAAAATATACATTAAAAAAGATTATCCTTCCTTTTGTGTATCTAAAATGATTATGATTTTACCTGTTAGCAACATGTTTTTCAGTTTCAATAAGCATTGCAAAACTCAAAACCAAAGCCATACTCAATACCTACTATTGTCTCTTGCTATTTCATTAAATAGTATAAAAATTCAAGGAGATTTATACTTATTAAAAGTTTAAGAAAATGTCATACAAATAAGATATTATGCAAGTGACTTAATGCTAGAGATAAAAGATAATTTTTTTTTCCTAGAAGAAGGAAATTAGTTAGGAAAATAAAAAATGGTTGACTGGAAGAATCTTTTGTGCTCTGTTTAGAGCCACTTCATAAAAAAGTATACTAAGAATTTCAGCTTGGGAAGATGAGAAAGTTCTGGAGACAGATGTGATGGTTGCACAACGTAAATGTATGTAATGTCACTGAACTGTACACTTAAAAATAACTTAAAATGGTAAATTTTATGTTATGTATATTTTACCACCTAAAAAAGGTATACTAATAAGTTGCTTTTCAAGATTTATGTTAAAACACTCCATTTAAAGCAAAGTGACACCCTCATTTCTTACAATATTCATGTTAATAAACATTTTCAGAAATTCACTGTCGTTTTCTAAATCATTTAATAAATTGCATGAGCTCTCTGACTACAGGATCTGCTGGAGAAAGGCACAAAAAGAGCTTTTAAAAAAGTAAAAATGTACTCTAAAGTCAGTGATCTTGGGTCTTCTTGTTTACAAAATTATCACCCAAGACATGCTTACAGGTTTTCCTGATTTTGAAAAATGGGGCTCTCAACTGATGTCTCTAAAACTGGAAATTTAGATTACAAATGATTCCACAAAACTGAAATCTTGAGGATAAGAGTATTTTAGTAACTGTGCAATTGCCAGAACCAGGCAGTAGGTGGCATTTTTGTAGGCACTTAGGGCTTTTGGAATAAAAGATCTTGTGCTGAGGAATGCAGAAAAAAACAAACGGAAACTACTATGGTTTTTATAATCAATCGGGATATGATAAATAAAACTAGCAATACAAAATTTAAATAAGGAGACTCAGCATATTTTGACTCAGCAATTCCTATCTTGAATCTACCTGTCTGGTTTTCTCCACTTTCTAAAAGGCTAACTCTATCAGTTTTCCAAGTTAATTTCATTTTGGCCTCTCATCTAAAATGATCCCCCCAAATGTGTAATAATAGTAAAAATACCCAATCCTACTGATTGACTAATAACATCACAAAGAAAGAGAGTTCTAGGAAAAAGTTACGTTTGGAAGTTATCAGCACACATGAATATTTCAAATCATGAGTCTGGATGAAAATAAACATGGGAATCAATGTTTAGAGGTATAAAGGTAGCATGGTTTTTTGGCATTGTTCTCAAACAAGGAATATCCTGTTATCTTGTGCTTTCACCAGGCTTCACTTTGCCAAAGCAGTAACCATTCTTCAATAAATGGACCTAATTGCCACATTTCCTCGATTCTAAGTTGTCCTTTTTTGTATTATTAATTTTATTAACAGCTTAAAATCAAAGTCACCCCCCAATCTCTCCCTTACCTCACCCTGGAAAACTGCTATTAAATTGATGGTCCATTTTACAACTGAGAAAATAAATGCACTAGCTACAGGTGACTTTGCTTGTAGGGTAAAAGCTTCCTGCCCCACACACTGAAACACCTTTTGCAAAGTGCTTTTTCAGGTAGTAACTAACCTTACTGGTAGCCACAAATTCGTGGGAGTAATGGCGGTGGGGAGGGCAAAACCCTCCACCCCTTCTCTTCCCTCAGAAAAGGATTAGGCACAAGGAGCCTCTAGGTGGCTTGTCTGAAGTCTGCAGCACAATCACAAACAACCCAGAGCCAGGTCTTCCTGCACCCAATTCCAAACTGGACTCTGAACCTGCTAAGGTTTGAAATGTGCCCCCCGTCAACCTCTCCTATAGAGAGGAGCAGAGACCGGCACAGCGACCCCTAGGAGGCTTTCGGCCTCATGCTGTCTTAGGTCCCCAAGGTCAACACCTATAGTATATCTTTGTCCCAACCACTTGCGTCTGGCTCTGGTCGCTTACGGGTAGTTCTCATCCACTCGAGCAGCGCTGGGAGGTCTGCCGGAGCCACCGTACGTAGCAGCTGCATTATTGCTTGCCGCGCGGAGCGGAATTCCATCTTGGAGCAGAAAACAGCGTCGGGGAAGGTTCGCAATGCGCACGCGCAAGCAGAGAGCGGTCTCCACTCCAGATCCGACACGGCGGAACCCGCCTCCCCCGGCTGCGAAATCCCTAAGCCCCGCCCCTTGTTGGTGTTCACACGTGCGCCTGGGGACGAAACCCTACTTTGAATTGCATCTCTCATGATTCTCCTTTCAGCTGGCAGTGCACTGCCCAGTCACTTTTTAAGGTGACTTCTCGAGGCCGGAATTATTTCCTGAGATCGCATCCCTAGAGAACATCCTGTACTGCCACTTTGCTGCCGCAGTGATTGGGCAATAGGAAACGGAATGTCCCAAAGCCAGTCGAAGCAAAGAAACATCGCAGTAAACCCTTTCAGCGAAAGCACTGAAAGTACGCGGCAGGTGCCCCGGAAGCGGAAGTGTATCCTTTTCATAAGAGGCTGGACTACGCCGAGTGGTGACGTTTCCTCATTGGGCGGAAGGTTCGGTGGCAATCGTCGGTCTTCCAGCTGGTGGGAGTTGGCGTCGCGGTGCTGGGCGCTGGAGCCCTAGTTTGTATAGTTTGGGAAGTCGGGCTGTGGGATCGCATCTGTCTGTCTGATCCCTGCTTTTCTTGGTTTCCCCCCACGTTGCGGGGGCCTCGCGAAGGAATCCCCGGCCCCTTTGGGCCACAGCGGTAGCGGTGCCTTTTGCGGTAAGTGTCTTGCTTTTTCCCGCCCCCGACCACGGACTGGCAGCTAGGGGCAGCCTCAGCCCTGCTTGGGGGCTAGAGACTCCAGAGGGAGTAGGCTTCTCTGGCCACCGACTCTCGTCACCGAGATTGAGGTGCACTGGCCCTTTTTCATCTCGTGTGCCCCGTCAGAAGTTTTATTAAAGGATGCACTGTGACCCTTTTAAGTTGTCTTCAGATTTACCCGAGCCAAATTAGATGTAGGCAATTACAGGCCTGGCTCTTTGCTTTGCTCTCTTGATCAATAATTTAGATGTGGCTACTTCTCCGAAAACCTTTTGACGTGTACGAGATTTTATTTTTCCGTGTCCGTTGTGCTCGACACATTGTTCTGCATATAGTAGGCGTTCAATAAACAATACGGGATATCAGTTCAATGCCAATGGTGACTTCAGATATACGATGGCTCTTTCTGTACATTTGACACTTTCTTTAAACTCTTTCCCCTATTGTCTTTCTTGATGCTATTCTCACCTAGTTCTTTCATATGCTTAATTCAACAGTATTTACTTATTCCTATCTATAGGGATATTGAAATGAATGACAAAAATACTGCCATTGAGGAGCTAACAGTACAGTGAGAGAGGCACATAAATATACATTATAGCAAGATGAGTAATGAGAAAGTTTAAAGAGCCATGATAGCTATGGGAACACAGATGAGATTGTTCAGGGGGATTTGTGGCCCTCAGCAGGTTGCTAGTCCAATCCAGTCTCAGTTTCCTCATCTATCTAATAACTTATTATGGGGATGAAAGATTAGGTGATCTGTTCTGGGCAGTGTCTAGAATATAGCAGTGTTGATGCCAAAGGGTAAATTATTTCCCTTAAAACTCTTTCTCTTGATGTTTTCATGTGGTCAGTTAGTATTTTCTAATTTAATAAAAGCATCTTCAAGCCCTTCTTCAAACAGATCTTGCCTCTAATTTCACCTAACTGGGAATTCTGGATCCACCTCTGGAATTTAATAAGATAAATATAAATGGTAGCTTTAAAAAAGTTGATTTTCTTCTGTATGCTTTTGGAGAGGGTAAGGAATTAGTAAGGGCTTCTATCCCTGTTAATTATTCTCAGTCTTAGTTGACTACTTTTTGTTGGCTCTTTGCCATCCCTGTAACCCAAATGGTCTTTCACAGTCTTCTTGAGAATTATCATCTACATCCATGGCTTCCATGGCATTATCCTTGTATGCCAACCATTTCCAAACTTCTGTAACTTCTTTTTTTTTCCTGTAACTTCTGTCTCATGAATGATATCGTTTTTTAGTTTCTATAAATTTAGTACGTCCAAAACCAAGCTTACTACCTCAACTTTCCTTTTTTTAAATTCTTTTCATTATTACTATATGATATATACATGTTTTTGACTCCTTGTTTGTACTTGAATTTTGTGATATTTGTATGTTCAATTTTTAAGGAATAATAAAATGAATGTGCACAGTATCCAACTTTTAGTAGAACATTACAAAATATTTTAGTAGATGTGCTCAAAATCCAACTTTAGTAAAACTTTACAAATACAACATTACAAAACCTTACAGCCCCTTGAACCTTTTCTGTATTAACTCTTTAATTTTCCAACCAGTTTCTCTTTGCCTTCCATTCTTTGGTTAATGGCATCATTGGCCATCTGGTTACTGTTTGAGACCTTGGAGTCACTTTTGCCTTTTTTTTCCCTTCATTTTCCACAACCATTTGGTCATTATGTCCTGTAGCTTCTGTTTTACGGGCTTGACTTGAGCCGTTTTGCTTTCTGCTTCCCTGGTTCAAGCCCACGTCTCCATTAGACTTTTGGGATAAGATTAGTGTACGTAGTCTCTTTGCCTCTCAAGTTTTTCTCCCTCCAAAGTATTTGCTATTTGACTCTAATCTTTTTAAATTATGGAACAGATTTTTCTTTCTCTGTTTTTCTTTGAAGAATATTGCTTCATGCAATGGTTATTAAGCCTGGCTGTACTTAATATGTAGCCAGTGAAGTTTTTCAAAATCTGATGCCTTGTTTCACTCTCCTAATGAAGAATTTAGATGAGGCCACTTCTGCCAACACCTTTTGATGTTACTATCCCTAGAGGTTGATTGAATATCTAATTTTTAGCTGATAGGTGTTAGCTAAACGTCGCTGAAATAACCCATTGCTTGAAATAGCTCATTCCTCCTCTTCCGTATTTTCAGTCTACGTTCAACTTCAGGACATACTGTTTCCAAGGAATTCTTTTGACTTGTTTTAATCTTGGTAAAAGTTTACATAAAAATTCTTGTTATAATTGACCTGATAGCCAAAAAAGTATCTTAAAGGAATGATTCTCATTGTTTTTGAACTGTTACCTCTTGTTGCTAATTGAGTTTTTGGTACGCCTTTTCTGTTATCAAACTATAAAGTGTCGTATTGTTGTTGTTTTTGATTAAAAGGAATTTTAAAATTTGGAAACAGATTATTTTAATGAAGAGGGAATTTCCTGATACTTTTCGTTGTAATTGAATATAACCTTTGTTGCAGAATTAAAGCAGGTAAGTCAGTGATGGTATGATGTATAATTTATCTTCTGAAGTTAATGGAGGAGTTTTGTCTGTGTTAAATTGATGTAATTTATTGATTTTGGAGTTAGAGCTTTTCTCATGCTGGGACAATTTCTGGAATACATACTAGGTGTTTGATGAATGAATAACTAAATGAATCCATGTGGCAACTTCATCTCAATCCCCAGTATAATATCATTGTAATTCTCACAAGGAGAACTTTGAAAAATAATTAATTTTACCTTTGACTTAAAAAATAATAGTCGTACCAAAAATTTGTAAATTACAAAAAGATGTAAATAAGAAAATAAAAATTCATCCAGAAATGATAAATGTTATTTGCTAACAGTTTTATTGAAATAAAATTCACATATCCTACAATTCACCTAAAGTTACAATTCAGTGCTTTTTAGTGTGTTGACAGAGTTGTGCAGTCATCACCACAATCAATTTTAGAACATTTTCATCACTCCATGAAGAAACCCCATACCCATTAATAGTCACTCCTCATTTTCCCCCAACTTCGGAGCCCTAACCATTAATCCACTTTCTGTCTCTGTAGATTTACTTCTGGACATTTCATATAAATGGAATCCTAGAATATGTGATCTTTTGTCACTGGTTTCTTTCATGCAGATTATGTTTTCAGTATTCATCCATGTTGTAGCATGAATCAGTACTTCAATTCTTTTTTTTATTTAAATTCAAGTTAGTTAACATAGAGTGTAGTCTTGGCTTCAGGAGCAGAACCCAGTGATTCATCTCTTACATGTAATACCCAGTGTGCATCCCAAGTGCCTTCCATAATGCTCATCACCTGTTAACCCATCCCCCCACCTGCTTCCCCTACAACAACCCTCTATTCTCTGTATTTAAGATTCTCTTGTGGTTTGTCTCTCTTTCTGTTTTTGTCTTATTTTTCCTTCCCTTCCCCTATGTTCATCTGTTGTGTTTCTCAAATTCCATATTTGAAATCATATGGTATCTGTCTTTCTCTGACTTACTACGTGTCGCATAATATACTCTAGTTCCATCCACTTTGTGGCAAATGGCAAGATTTTGTTCTTTTTGATTGCTGAGTAGCATTCTGTTATACACACACACACACACACACACACACACACACACACACACACACACACCACATCTTCTTTATTCATTCATTCATCAGTCAAAGGACATTTGGGCTATTGTTCATATCACTGCTATGAACATTGGGGTGCATGTGCTCCTTTGAATCAGCATTTTTGTATCCTTTGGATAAATACCTAGTAGTGCATTTGTTAGGTCTTAGGGTAGTTCTATTTTTAATTTTTCGAGGAACCAACCTCCTGTTTTCCAGAGTGGCTGTACCAGTTTGCATTCCCACCAACAGTACAAAAGGGTTCCCCTTTCTCTGAATTTTTGCCAACATCTGTTCTTTCCTGAGTTGTTAATTTTAGCCGTTCTGACAGATATGAAGTGGTATCTCATTGTGGTTTTGATTTGTATTTCCCTAATGATGAGTGATGTTGAGTATTTTCCTGTGTCTGTGAGCCATCTGGATGTCTTCTTTGGAAAATTGTCTATTCATGTGTTTTGCCCATTCCTTCACTGGATTATTTGTTTTTTGGGTGTTGAGTTTGGTAAATTCTTTATAGATTTTGGAAACTAACCTTTTATCTGATATGTCATTTGCAAAGATCTTCTCGCATTGCCTGTTAGTTTGGTTGATTGTTTTCTTTGCTGTGTTCATTTCTTTTTATTATCAAATATTCCATTTTATGGATATATCACATTATTTTTACCCACTCATCAGTTGAGGGATGTTTGGGTTCTTTCTACTTTTTGGCTAGAGTGAATAATGCTGCCAATGACCATTTATGTACAAATTTTTGTTTGGATGTATCTTACTTTCTCTTGGCTTGTACCTAGGAGTGGAATTGCTGGGTCATATGTAGTAACCCTGTGTTCAACATTCTGAGGAATTGCCCAAATTGTTTCCAACGGGCTGTACCATTTTACATCCCCACCAACAGTACATGAAGGTTCTGATTTCTCCACATTCGGAACAACACTTGTTATGTCTTTTTGACTATAGCCATCCTATTGTGTGTGGAGTAGTATCTGAGTGTGCCTTTGATTTGCATTTCCCTGGAGGCTAATGTTATTTTTTGATATTTTTTTATAGATAAAAATGGATTATACAATAAATACAGTTTTGTATTCTGTCTTTTGCATTTAAGCATGTTTTTAACATTAGCGAGCATGTTTACAAAAGAATTTCCCTCATTACTGCTTCCCTTTTCATTACCCCAAATCATAATTCTTGAGAAAACTTGCCTCACTTATATGCATAGAAAATAAAATCTGTAGGAACATGTACTAAATTGTTATTGGTGGTTGTCGGGACAAGAGGGTGTAAGATTAGGGGAATTACATTTTCTGCCTTTAGTGTTTCTGTAATGT